GGTGTGTGTGTGTGTGTCTGTGTCTGTGTCTGTGTGTGTCGCAGGGCGTCCTGAGCATGTTTGAAGACATGGGCGTCATCAACACCTATAAGATCAACCTGCAGACTTTAGCCAGGTACAGACTCTCACAGACCGACCTGTAATAAATATAATCAAATCTAAAGACAGAGAAAAGAAAAATCTTTTAGAAATCTAGTTAAACTCATGTACCGAGCTCTTAGAAATAGAATATTTGCTTTTAAGTTGGTTTAATATGGTTTTGAACTATTACTTCTATTTTGAACTCCTAATTTATCATTTATACCATTTTTTACTACTTATGTTTAATTTATACTGTTTTATTTATACAGTTTATGATATTTGATTTTGTACTGATTTATAAAATGTATACTACTTTGTACTACTAATTTATCAAATTTATACCATTTGGTACTATTAATTTATACCGTTTATATAATTTTACACTACTAATTTATACAATTTGTACCATTTTGTTCTACTAATTTATTATTTATTGTATTTGATAGTACTAATTAATAAAATATTAACTATTTATACTACTAAACTGAAAAAATGATTAATTGAATTTACTATATTTGTTAAGGTAAGTTGTTGCAATCGGTTTATTTTAGCTACATTTAAAAAAAATGATTTAGTTTGAATACTTTGATTTTTCTTTTTAATGTTTTAACTGATTGACAGCACTAGTATTTAATTACAGGACTTTCAATATCAGATATGATTGTTTACTCACCTGGAAGGTCTTCTCATTAATCTCTGTAATGGGACTGCATGACACCACATACTCTGAGGTGTGCGGCACAGGCTGCCACATGATTGTGGTCTGGGTCTGAGCTTCCTGGGGCAGGTTTGTCTCATTGTAAAGGCCACTGAAGGGGAAGCCAGGTTCAGGCCCCTCGCTCACCTGCACCACTGGCACTCTCTGGCCATCTGCTCCCGGCAGGGGGATGTAGACCAGAGGCTCGCGGTGGCTTGGGGGATGAGGCTGCTGGCCTTTATTGCCCAGGTTGTAGCTCTGATATTCAGTGTAGATGTGTTGGCCCTGGTGCCCCAGTGTGTTGTGTCTGTTTGGCCCCAGCATATGCACGTGGTTGTTAAAGTGGTCGTTGTCTTCTGGTACATCCAGGATGTCATGGCGGGGCCGGCTGGGGTCAGGGAGCTGGGGGGTCAGCTGGTGAATTTCCAGTTCTAGCAGGAAAATTGTGTTGGGGCAAGCAAATGAGTAATGCAATAGCATATTGCAGCAGAGGGCAATGTAAAGCACATTTAATTCATTGTGCTTTGATTATATCAGCCATGCATTTATTTCTTTTAAATTAAAGTGATTAAAAAAGGAGCTGCACATATCATGTAATATTATATAATACATATCACCAGCCTTGCTATGTAATATGTATTAATAGCTTCATAAAATATCGTCATAAAATGTATTGTAATAACAGTTTTAGTGCAAATAGTACCCACAAACTACTTAAAATATGCATTTTAACATGTAGATGTGGATTCAGCAAGAACGCATTATCAAAAGTGTCACTAAACATATAATGTTACAAAAGATTTCAAACAATAGTTGTTCTTTTGAATACTCCATTTGTCAAAAAATCCTTAAACTATTACTATTTCAACATTGACAATAAGAAGTGTTTCTTGAGCAGAAAATCAGCATATTAGAATGATTTCTGAAGGATCATGTGACACTGAAGATTGGAGTAATGACTGCTGAAAATTCAACTTTGTATCACAGGAGTAAAATATATTCTAAAATATCTTAAGATACAAATCAGTTATTTTAAATTAGAGACTTATTTTTTTTTTAAAAAGTAAAAAGTAAAAAAAAACCAAAGGTGTACTTACGAGTTTTTGCCTTTCCAATCAATGGAATGCTTCTCTGAGCATTATTTAATGCCACAATCTTGATAACGTACTCTGTGCCCGGTTTCAAACCTACATGTATAGACCACAAAAACGTTAATAAAAAACTATCAACATAATTAAGGAGAAACAAAAAGGCACAACATTATGAAAGCTATAAACAGAGAAAGAACAGTACCAGAGATGGAAGCGAAGGTCCTGCCAGCCTGAGGTCGAGGGGTCAACTCTTTAGGAATGTCTCCAGCCTCTTCATAAGTCACATAGTATCCAGTGATAGTGCTTCGTGGAGGCTCCCAGGTGAAGGAGATCAAAGTAGGAGTCAGAGAGGTGAAATGGAGGTTTGTGGGTGGGCTGATAACTGGTTTTGCTGAAAAAAATATTTATTAAATAATTTATATTATGTTATATTATATTATATTTATTATATTATACCTGTAGTAGCTGTAAGGGTGAAAGGCTCACTACGTGAGCTTCCATTCAGAGTATAGATATTGATTTTATAAGTGGTTCCTGGCTCCAAACCTGCAGAATCATATGATCAAATCAATCTCAGTTTTCAAAACAAATATTTACCCAGCATATGCTGCAGCCTGTAAAACAAGTTAATATAGTTATATTGTTTTGTACCAGTAATGGTGTAGGTGCGGGTGTGTGTGTGTGTGTCTGTGTCTGTGTCTGTGTGTGTCGCAGGGCGTCCTGAGCATGTTTGAAGACATGGGCGTCATCAACACCTATAAGATCAACCTGCAGACTTTAGCCAGGTACAGACTCTCACAGACCGACCTGTAATAAATATAATCAAATCTAAAGACAGAGAAAAGAAAAATCTTTTAGAAATCTAGTTAAACTCATGTACCGAGCTCTTAGAAATAGAATATTTGCTTTTAAGTTGGTTTAATATGGTTTTGAACTATTACTTCTATTTTGAACTCCTAATTTATCATTTATACCATTTTTTACTACTTATGTTTAATTTATACTGTTTTATTTATACAGTTTATGATATTTGATTTTGTACTGATTTATAAAATGTATACTACTTTGTACTACTAATTTATACCATTTATACCATTTGGTACTATTAATTTATACCGTTTATATAATTTTACACTACTAATTTATACCATTTTGTTCATTTTGTTCTACTAATTTATTATTTATTGTATTTGATAGTACTAATTAATAAAATATTAACTATTTATACTACTAAACTGAAAAAATGATTAATTGAATTTACTATATTTGTTAAGGTAAGTTGTTGCAATCAGTTTATTTTAGCTACATTTAAATAAACAAATTTAGTTGACTAACTTTCAACATTTTTTTTATTTAAATGTAGCTAAAATAAATAGTTTGCAACCACTTACCTTAAAAAAATGTAGTATAATTTTTTTCAGTGTAATTTATACAATTTATACCATTTGGTACTATTCATTTATATAGTTTATATTATCTTATACTACAAATTTATGCTATTTGTTCTACTAATTTATACTATTTATACCATTTTGTACAACTAATTTAGAATTTATCCTGTTTTATACTAATTTATACTATTTGTACTACTGTTTCATGATTTGTACTATTTTGTTCTATTAATTTAATGTGATTTTTCTACTCATTTATATTATTTTGTATTACTAATTAATAAAATTTTGCTGTTTTGTTTTAGTAATTTATACAAATTTTTGTACTGCTAATTTACAAAAAAATACTGCTAATTAATATAACTTTAGCTACTTTTAAATACATTTTTTACTATTAAATTATACAATTTATACCATTTTGTACTACTAATTAATTCAGTTTTGCTATTTTGTGCGACTGATTTATATTACTACTAAACTGAAAAAATGATTAATTGAATTTACTATATTTGTTAAGGTAAGTTGTTGCAATCGGTTTATTTTAGCTACATTTAAATAAACAAATTTAGTTGACTAACTTTCAACATTTTTTTTATTTAAATGTAGCTAAAATAAATAGTTTGCAACCACTTACCTTAAAAAAATGTAGTATAATTTTTTTCAGTGTAATTTATACAATTTATACCATTTGGTACTATTCATTTATATAGTTTATATTATCTTATACTACAAATTTATGCTATTTGTTCTACTAATTTATACTATTTATACCATTTTGTACAACTAATTTAGAATTTATCCTGTTTTATACTAATTTATACTATTTGTACTACTGTTTCATGATTTGTACTATTTTGTTCTATTAATTTAATGTGATTTTTCTACTCATTTATATTATTTTGTATTACTAATTAATAAAATTTTGCTGTTTTGTTTTAGTAATTTATACAAATTTTTGTACTGCTAATTTACAAAAAAATACTGCTAATTAATATAACTTTAGCTACTTTTAAATAAATTTTTTACTATTAAATTATACAATTTATACCATTTTGTACTCCTAATTAATTCAGTTTTGCTGTTTTGTGTGACTGATTTATATTATTTTCAACAAAAAGTTGTGATCTAAAGAATTAAAATGTCAAGTAAAAAGTAATTTAATATTCTCCTTACATCTTGCACACTACTAAATCATCACTTTTATTAATATAAAGTTTCTTATTAAGTTTTGAAACACATTTGTAATGGTAAAAATGTCAACTTGAACGGACTCGGGCATAAAAAGCCTGATATTTGTAGAGATGATGAGAGGAATCTATAGTGAACCTGTGTTTTCTCTGTTGTGTAGGTTTTGTCTGATGGTGAAGAAGGGCTACAGAGATCCTCCGTATCACAACTGGATGCATGCCTTCTCCGTCTCACACTTCTGTTATCTGCTTTACAAGAACCTACAACTGTCTAACTACCTCGAGTAAGCAGAGACTCACTCAAACCAGCGGCTTTACAGGAACCAGCTGCTTTCCCATTGCACCACAGCATAATAAAACACTATAATAAGTCATTATGTTGTGGGGAGAGCTTTGAATCATTTTAGTGAATCACTTCATTCAGACAGTTCACGTAAATGATTCCCTCCACAGAGTCACTGCACCTTGTTTTAATGTAGTGAATTATTTAAGATGCTGCTGCTGCTGTTTGTCACGTACTGTATGTTTAACTCAGTTCTATACATTAGGATGTTTTCTGCTTTTAATATTGTTTTGTTTTTTCATTCACTGTCACTCTAATTAAGGTGGCTAAAATCTTGAGATCACATGATTTTTTTAGTGCTTTATACTGTTTTGCACAACTAATTTATACAATTTATAACTTTTTTTTACTTTTAATTGATATTATTTTATATAATTTGTAATATTTTGCCTATTTTTGGCTTTTATTCTATTTTGCACATTTTTTGATTTGATTTTGTTCTCATAATTTATCAAATGTATACTATTTTTGTACTAATTTTTACAATTTGTCTTATTTTGTACTCATTTATACATTTGATACTATTTTGTACTAATTTTTACAATTTATATGTATTTGTACTAATTTATACAATTTGTACTATTTTGTACTAGTAATTCATACAATTTATTCTACTTTGCACTACTAATTTTAGCAATTTATACGATAGTTATCATAATTTATACAATGTATACCATTTTGTTCTGCTATTTTTTTACAATTGATATCATTTCGTATTAATACTTTTTGTCATTTATTCTATTTTCTACTACTAGTTCTTGCAAGTTATATTATTTTGTTCTACTAATTTTTACAATGGACATTTATTTGTACTAATTTATACAATTCATACCATTTTCCTCGACTGATTTATACGTCTGATTCTGGCAGAGATATAGAGATTCTGGCGCTCTTCGTGTCCTGCATGTGTCACGATCTGGACCATCGAGGAACCAACAACTCCTTCCAGGTGGATTCGGTACGTCATGAACACCTTCTTCTGAAGATCTAGAGACGCTTCGGAGTTTGTGTGGAATTGCATGAAAAGTAATAAATTAATGTGTTTATACGCTGTATAAAATTTTATATATATATATATATATATATAAAAACGTTAATTTATTTTATACAGTTTTTACAAATCAGCCTATCTGCAAAAAGAGGTTTTGTTTTGTTTTTGTTTTGGCAGGATTTGTCAGGTTTAGCTCACTCCTGGGTATAAATGTATCCCAAAATATGGCACACACCCACACAATATGACTATAGCCCTGTTTACATGCGTCCCAAATTCTGTCTATGGATACAGCTATCATACAGTCGTTTTACTTTGAATCCACACATAACAGCACAGTTTAAAGTGTTGTTTTGAGTGATTGATGGATGAGTAGCTGCTGTAATCTCATGTGTTTGTACCTGTGAATGTGGTCTGAGTGATCATTTCAGACCCGTTTATACAGTGTGTGTTTGCTGCCCTCTGCTGTTCACCGCGTTCACACACACTCAGCACTGATCTAGTGTCTTGTGTGTGCTTGTGTTTCAGAGACATCACTTCGCTCAGGCCATCGCCATCCTCAACACACAAGGCTGCAACATCTTTGAGAAGTTCTCCAGAAAGGTGCATCACTCCTTCCTCGACTCCGATTACAACAGGGAAAAATCCTTCAATGGTTTTGTTATCCTGACCATGATGCTTTGCTCTTTCTGTTTTCAGGACTATCAGCGGATGCTGGATCTGATGAGAGACATCATCCTGGCCACAGATCTGGCTCATCACCTGAGGATCTTCAGGGACCTGCAGAAGATGGCTGATGGTGAGACCCGGCGTGATTGTTTTCAGCTGAATCTCAGGTCACAAATAAATTAATGCATTGAGAGAAAAATATTAATTTTGTAAAATAAAAATTATAATGTAAATAAGTAATATTAACAAATGTCAGCCACAGGGTTATTATAGTTAACTAAAACTAAAACCATAAAAAAAAAACACTTTTGCTAACTGAAATAAACATTAACGAAAAAGTTGCCGAAGAAACATTTTCATTTAGTTTAACTTAAAATAACAAAAATGACTAAAAAAAAAAAAAAATTTAAAAATAAAACTATAAATAAAACTAGATAAAAAAGTTTGTCGAGACAAACTTTAGGTTGGCTTGAGAAAACCTAGCCTGAAAGTTTAAAGCAGTTGTAAAAGCCTGAAGTTTGATATTTTTTGGTAGATTAGATGTTGATAACATGTTTCTAGCATGATAAGCATGTTTTTAGCATGATTAGCCTGTTAGCATATTGATGGCATGATTAGCAAGATACTAGCATGTCGCTAGCATGTTTCTAGAATGATTAGCAAGTTACTAGCATGTCGCTAGCATGTTTCTAGCATGATTAGCATGTCACTAGCATGTTAACTAAAACTAAAATCATTAAAAAAAAAACTTTTCCTAACTGAAATAAACATTAACGAAAAAGTTGCCAAAGAAACATTTTCATTTAGTTTAACTTAAAATAACAAAAATGACTAAAAAAAAAAAATAATTTAAAAACCTAGCCTGAACGTTTAAAGCAGTTGTAAAAGCCTGAAGTTTGAAAATTTAGATAGATTAGATGTTGATAACATGTTTCTAGCATGATTAGCAGGTTTTTAGCATGATTAGCCTGTTAACATATTGATGGCATGATTAGCAAATTACTAGCATGTCGCTAGCATGTTTCTAGAATGATTAGCATGTTGCTAGCATGACTAACATGTGACTGGCATGTAGCTAGCATGATTACCAAGTTACTAGCATTTTGCTAGCATGTTTCTAACATGATTAGCATGCTACTAACATGTTGCTAGCATGATTAGCAAGTGACTAGCATGTCGTTAACATGATTAGCCAGTTACTAGCATGTTACTAGCGTGTCTCTAGCATTATTAGCAAGTGACTAGCATGCCGCTAGCGTGTCTCTAGCATGATTAGCATGTCACTAGCATGCTGCTAGCATGGTTAACATGTCACTAGCATGTTGCTACCATGATTAGCATGCTACTAGCATGTCTCTAGCATGATTAGCAAGTAACTAGCATGTCGTTAGCATTATTAGCAAGTTACTAACATTTCACTAGCATTATTAGCCAGTAACTAGCATGTCGCTAGCATGATTAGCAAGTTACTAGCATATCGCTAGCATGTTCGCAAGTAACTAGCATGTCTATAGCATGATTAGCAAGTTACTAGCATGTCGCTAGCATGTTTCTAGCATGATTAGCATGTCACTAGCATGTTAACTAAAACTAAAATCATTTAAAAAAAAAACACTTTTGCTAACTGAAATAAACATTAACGAACTAGCATGTCGTTAACATGATTAGCAAGTTACTAGCATGTTGCTAGCGTGTCTCTAGCATGATTAGCAAGTGACTAGCATGCCGCTAGCGTGTCTCTAGCATGATTAGCAAGTGACTAGCATGCCGCTAGCGTGTCTCTAGCATGATTAGCAAGTGACTAGCATGCCGCTAGCGTGTCTCTAGCATGATTAGCAAGTGACTAGCATGCCGCTAGCGTGTCTCTAGCATGATTAGCATGTCACTAGCATGTCGTTAGCATGATTAGCAAGTTACTAGCATGTCGCTAGCATGATTAGCATGCTACTAGCATGTCTCTAGCATGATTAGCAAGTAACTAGCATGCATTTAAAAAAAACACTTTTGCTAACTGAAATAAACATTAAGTGAAAATGTTTCTTTGACAACTTTTTCGTTAGCTTACCTTAAAATAACAAAAATGACTAAAACTAAAACAAACAAAAAAACTATAAATAAAATAATAATAATAAAATTACATAAAAACTAACAAAATCTAAACTGGACATATAAAAAAAGCTAAAAAATAAAATAAAATAAAAATGAATTCAAAATATTATTTAAAACTATAATAGTATGTCAATGACACTAAAATAACACTAGTTAGTCCTGAAGAATAAAATATAAGTTAACTGAAATAAAACAGCTGTGTTTAGAGCTGTTGTGAGATCTTGACTGGAGTTATTAGTTGATGTGAGTATTATCCTCTTCATCATCATGTGTTTGTAGCTGGTTATAACCCGAGGAGTCAAGCCCATCGCAGTCTGCTGCTGTGCCTCCTCATGACCTCCTGTGACCTCTCAGACCAGACCAAGGGCTGGAAAACCACCAGGAAGATCGCGGTACGAGTCCCGAAGCTCACAGACTCACCAGAAACACGCGGCGCTCTGTCAAACGCTCTCTCTCACTCTTCTGTGTTTGTTTCGCAGGAGCTGATCTATAAAGAGTTCTTCTCTCAGGGGGATCTGGTGAGTTAAACAGCAGTATTATGTTTTAAGTGTTTTTAGTTCAGAGAGGTTTCTATCTGTGCTAACCGGACTTGATCAAAGACACTCGTTTAATTACCTTTCCAGCCGACATGTGACCAACTTTCAACATGTCAATAGCAACAAAAAAAAAAAAGACAAAAATCTGCATATATAATACTAAATGGTTGTAAAAAGGTTAACAAACAATTATAAGTTAATGTTAAAATTTTCTCAAAATTTGTTGAATATATGTTGAAAAGATTTAGCAATTTGTAAAATTGAAACAAAATTCAGAAAGTTTGATTCACCAGACAAATGTTGAAATTCTGACTGGGTTCCATTATTCGTGTAAATACATTTTTTTTTTTTTTTTTTATTAATAAAAAGAAAATGCTGAGATATTTGACATACCACTGGAAAATATTTATTTGTTGTACTATAGTATTATAGTATTTTCATTTTTTTTTTTTTTTTTTCTAATATCTAATATTTATTTCCAGCGTGGCTTTTTAAATTTACATTTTTTTAATGAATGTTTATTAAACCTTTATTTGCTTTTATGGCTCATATAGTCTGATACAGTGAGAATATGGAGAGAAAAAAAACCTTTAATCTTATTCAGAGACTCAAACTGAACAAATTATTCAATTTGCTGCAGATGCTGATATTTCTATGATGAAATCCTGCTGCTTGTGATGTAAATCAATGAGATCTGTCTAACAGTAGAGCAGATACTGACATAAAATGATAGAAATATCAGTCGTCTCTATATCTCCAGTAATCTGTCTCAGTAAGATGAGATTGAAATGCTCCAAACATATAATGCAGTGATTGAGAGCTGAAGAAATAAAGGCTCCTCAGAAGATGTGAGATGTTCTGGAGGCTTGTGAAGATCATTCCTCCGCTGAGGAACAGTGAAAGTAAAGCTTCTGGAAACAAACGCTCCTCAAAAGATCCTGAGGATCAGATTTGAGACTCTAAAACATGATTGATGGAGAATCAAGTAAAGCTGAGCTGCTTCAGTCCAGTAAGTGTTCATCTGGAGATATTACTGCAGTTATTCTGACCTTTACTTGATCAAAATCACTCAAGATCTGACACGTGAAGCTCCAGCTGAAGCTGAACGTATCTACAATTACACTAAAAGAGCTTCGACTGGATAAAAAACTATCAATCAGAGACAGAAGACATGAGGAGATTGAGTGTGAAACAGGTTTAACAGCAAATCATATCATTTAGAGCTTTATGAATTCATGATTCACAAGACTCTGTTCTTGTGTCTTCAGGAGAAGGCGATGGGAAACAGACCCAGTGAGATGATGGACCGTGAGAAAGCCTACATCCCTGAACTCCAGATCAGCTTCATGGAGCACATCGCCATGCCAATATACAAGTCAGAGAATCACTCATTTCATGCATGTGATGCTGGTTATTCATCAAGAGCAGGGGCCTCATTTATAAAGCGTGCATACGCATCTTAAGAGTGTGCATGCGCTTAAATCCACAACAACGATCATAAGTGACCCTGGAGCACAAAACCAGTCATAAGGGTTGAAATTGAGATTTATACATCATATGAAAGCTGAATAAATAAGCTTTCCATTGATGTATGGTTTGTTAGGATAGGACAATATTTGGCTGAGATACAACTATTTGAAAATCTGGAATCTGAGGGTGCAAAAAAATCTAAATATTGATAAAATCGACTTTAAAGTTGTCCAAATGAAGTTCTTAGCAATGCATATTACTAGTTTTGATATATACTAGTATTTGATATATTTTTGGCATAAAAGAAAAATTGATAATTTTGACCCATACAATGTATTGTTGGCTATTGCTACAAATATACCTGTGCTACTCATGACTGCTTTTGTGCTCCAGGGACACATTGACTACATTGGTTTCTGTGCAACATTTTATAAATGAGGCCCCAGCTCTAGAGTTTAACTTAACTCTGCTGGTTTTCTTTCAGGCTCCTGCAGGAGATTTTCCCACGTTCGGCCGAGCTTTACGAGCGCGTGGCCGCCAACCGCGAGCAGTGGGCCAAAGTCTCGCACAAGTTCACCATCCGCGGACTACCGAGCAACAACTCGCTGGACTTTCTGGACGAGGAATTCGAGCTGCTGCAGTCTCAAGGCGCCTTCGGAGATGATTCGCATCGCATGAACGGTTGCCTGGACGACGAGTGCGACAAACACGACCAATGACGTCGCTAGGGCAGAGGTCACCTGACGGATTGTGTCTTGGTAAAATTCCGTAGTTACCGACGAGGCTTTGAGGAAAGGTTCGTTGTCTCCTTTTTGCCGTTTTGCACGATGAAGGACGATGGATGGTGCTGCGCAGTCGGCGGAGTGTGTAATGTTACGCAGACATTTGGACTGAAAAAGTTATATTCTCAGTGGCCCCGTTGTAATAGCTAAACATTTTATTCTAATTGAAAAATCATATTTCACCTAAACAACTAGATGAATGAAATGTAACAATTCCAGCAGCCCAGTGTTACATTTTTAAAAAGTTGTAACAATTACAGGTGTCTGGTGATACATGTTTAAATCAGTGTTACGTTTTTAGAACTTGTAACAGTTCCAGCTGCCTGGTGTTACAGTGTTACATTTTTTAAACTTGTAACAATTCCAGAAGCCTGGTGTTGCTGTTTTAGAGCTTGTAATACTTCCTGCTGCTTGGTGTTACATTTTTACAACTTGTAACAATTCTAGCAGACCAGTGTTACATTTCTAGAACTTGTAACAATTCCAGCAGCCAGTGTCACGGTTTTTAGAACTTGTAATAATTCCTGCTGCCAAGTGTTACATTTTTAGAACTTGTAACAATTCCAGCACCCTGATGTTACTTTATTTATTTTTTTTAAATCTTGTAACCTGGAAGCCAGTGTTACATTTTTTAAAAACTGTAACAATTCCAGCAGCCTGATGTAAAAAAAAAAATTTAAATCTTGTAACAATCCTGGAAGCCCAGTGTTACATTTTTTTAAAACTGTAACAATTACAGCAGCCTGATGTAAAAAAAAAAATTTAAATCTTGTAACAATCCTGGGAACCCAGTGTTGCATGTTTAAACCTGTAACAATTCCAGCAGCATAGTGTTACGTTTCTGGAACTTGTAACAATTCCAGCAGCTTGATGTTACTTTAAAAAAAAAAAAATCTTGTAACAATCCTGGGAGCCCAGTGTTACATTTTAAACCTGTAACAATTCCAGCAGCCTGGTGTTACATTTCTAGAACTTGTAAGAATTCCAGCATTCTGATGTTACATTTTTAGAATATGTAATAATTCCAGCAGCCTGGTGTTACATTTTTAAAACTTGTAACAATTCTGGGAGCCCAGTGTTTTTCCAGCTGCCCAATGTTACATTTTTAGAATGTTTTTTTAGTAGTTGTTATTTTGTTGCACATCCAAGCAGAAGCAATTTAAAATACTACAAGAAAAACTAAGCCACTGTTTTCTTTTCTGCGTCCTCAGCGTACAGAAATTGTCAGACGAAACACATCTTTGGATAATTAATCTTTTGCTTTCAACCAATTTCGCCCCTCAGACGTCAGTTCTCCCTGTTTACACAGAAAAACGCAACACAACAACATTTCTCCATTCCCGAAATCCCAAAACCCAAACCAATCATTGGAAATCTCAGTCAAGCGAGCAGCGAGCGATTAGAGCGTGTGTGACGACAGGCGTGAAAACACACGGACCCCGGAGACCTTCTGAAACCGTCGTGGAGAAACTTTTCGAAGCTCTGTACATATAGTTGTGTTTTAAAGGGCTACGCGGCCCTCACACTTTTCTTTCTCAGGATGGCAGAATGTGTGCGTCAAATGGACCTTGCCTTACAAATGTTTGCGTTGCCTTCCTGAGTGACTTTAAAAGAGATCTATGTATAAAAACGTTCGGCCTTTCTATGTACAGTTCTGAAGCTACATGGATATATAGAGATATCTATTTGCCGTGTGTAAATGTGTGTTTGCACAGGTGTGACTGTAAGTGCATTTGCCAAAATCTGCAAAGGAACAGAAAACAGAGTGATGTCAGTTTTATGATTTAACCTGATGTCAGTTTAATATTAACCTGCAGTGGAGTGTCAAATTCACAGAAAACTCCATCATATTTCACAACAAAATCAAAAGAATAAAATAAGTTACATAACATTTTATGATTAAAATTTTGCATTAAATATTAAGCCTGTTTTTAAGACCAATATCATTGTAATATATATATATATATATATTTTTTTTTTTTTTTTTTTCATTAATGTCATAATGAAAAATTACTGTTATAATGGTCCTAAAAACATGTCTTCATGCAAATTTTAATTTATTTATTTTAGATGAGTTCTGACCTGCTGTATTTGAAAGAAAAGATATATATAAAAAGACTTCATGCTGGCAGTCAACTTTAAATAATTTAAATGCTTTCTTATAGAGTTTCCATTGTATTTTAAGTTAATAATTATTACAGATATGATACTATTGTTTTCTTGTGCAATAAGTGGTTTTTGCGTCGCCTTGTGTACATAACATCCATTTCTAAATTATTACTTTTTACACACACTTTGATTTAATGAATCTATTTTCTGGTATTTGTACACGTTTGTACCTGTAGGTGACGGTAAATAACATTGTTTTTCTTT